CATCAAAGTCAAGTGAAGGTCATTCAAAGTCAATTCAAGGTCACAAAGTAAAGTGAAGGTCAGTCAAAGTCAATTCAAGGACATTTCAAGGTCATTTAAGGTCAAGTCAAGGTCATTCAAGATTACGCAAAGGTCATTCAAGAACTTTTCAAGGTCACATCAAAGTCAAGTGAAGGTCATTCAAAGTCAACTCAAGGACATTCAAAGTCACAAAGTCAAGTGAAGGTCAATCAAATTCAATTCAAGGACATTCAAGGTTACGCAAAGGTCATTCAAGAACTTTTCAAGGTCACATCAAAGTCAAATGAAGGTCATTCAAAGTCAATTCAAGGTTATTTTAAGGACATTTAAGGTCAAGTCAAGATCATTTAATGACACGTCTAAGACATTCAAGGTTACGTCAAGGGCATTCAAGGTCATTTCAAGAAATTTCAAGCTCATGTTAAGAATATTACTTCTGGAATATATCTTTCGAGAAAAACTAAGGTTTCGACAATTATATTCAATTCGTTTTACGATCAAAATTACATGAACTAAAATTAGAATGTAGGTAAAAATTGTCTAATTTAACATTTATATTTTTTTTTGCAAAATGTCAATTTTAGTCCAAGGCAATAATAAAACGACGATATTTTTGTTGTTTTAGTATTATATGTATTACAAACAAAACCCCAAAATATTCTTTTCCTTATTATTTTAAGATAAATAAATTTATAAACACGTTACGTGTTATAAATTATCAAAAAAAATTTAGATAAATTATCAAGTATAAAAAACCTACTACTGAGTTAACGAAAAATTTTTTTTTAGTTACAAAATGCATTTAACATTAATTGTACTCTTCTCATTTTTGAGTATATTTTTCTTGATAGAAATCGTTGCTTTTGGTGGTGATAAAGATGACGGAAATAACATAGACAGTGGAAGACCCTGCTTGAGAACAGGTAGCCACTGCAACAGAACCAATTATAGAGAATGTTGCAGTAGACAATGTATCCGAAGTAAGTTTTTATTTGAAAAAAAAAATAATGTTAATTTTGTATTAAAATATCTTATTATTTTTCAGGAAGTCACAGATGCTTTTAAGAAAAAAAATTGTTAAACTGAAACCTTTTTATTTAATAAATTTTACTTCAACAATTTCTATATATATACAAAATTATACCCTTATTTTCTTGGAATTAAAAATAATTTAAAGTAAAAGTAAATTTATTTTTTAAAGACACCTAAATTATCAATAATTCTAAACTATATTGCACAAAATAATATTTTTATTTTATTTTTTTGCACTCGGAATGTTAAACTCAAATGTTAGCAATATTATCTCTGTCAATAATTTTGCTTATTGATTCTACAAATTGTTACAAAAAACAAAAGATTGAAAATAGGATAAGCAAATAGTGCTCGCAATTTTCTAACTTTTACTATTTCTTTCTCATAAAAAAAAATAGTGTACATACTTTTTATATTTGTAAATTATTCGTCTAAATAAGTGACAAGTAGAGCATAAAAATAACTTTCATACAAATTTTAATATAAATAAGATATTTAGAACATTTAGGATCTTAGATAACAGCCAGTTGTTATAGTACAAAAAATAAAAGAAAAACCAGACTACATTGTATTTGAAAAACAATTTAACAGTTTTGTTTGTTTTTTCCTTCAATTCTAATTTAAAAAAAAAACAATTTATTTCATTTCAATGAAAAACAAAATTTTTGTGAAAATGTTTATAAAAAAAAAAAACCCTAAATGTTAACACGGTTGAGAAGAGTGAACATATACGTACATATACTTCAAACGAATCGAATTAAAAGCAGTTAGAATACAGACAATAAATTTGGCTTTTGAAAATCTGCACATAAAAATCGACATTACAACTTGTGTTTGCCATTGTGCTTTTCGCGTAAATGTAAAATACTCGTCGAATGTAAATATTTGCCATTCTGTCGACAAAGGACTTTTCAGTATTCACGCAGAGATTAAAATGTGAAAAATAAAAAATTTTACGCATATGAAATTTGGAAAATTTTTTAACAATTCAAAGGCATGTACTTGATTTAGATGCAATTTTTTTTTTGGGGGGGGAGGGAGGCAGGGTTCCTCTATGTGATAGAATGAGAGAAAAAGAGATGAAATGAAATTATTATTCGAAACGCGAATAACAAATGTCTGGCTACACTATATGCTATCGCACGCCAGTGATTTTCGAACGTTTACGCAAACCCGCCGTTTATAGCCCGGTCACGCCCCAGGCTCTGTGAGGCGCCTAAAGGGGTGACAACTGCGGAGGCATAGCGCACAAGCCCCTTTAACTCAGCGCGATATAATCTATTGTAATTGAAAATTATGCCGCACGACTGGATCTCTCGGGACGGGACTGTGCGCGGCTCGTTTCAAAAAGACTAAAGGAATGGAGAAAAAAAAAAATTCCCTCACACTGCAAAAAAAAAAAAAAAAAATAGTGGAGGCAGTTTTAAAATCTCCCTTCTTTATTTATGTATGCATAAAAATATATACTATTTCTCTTTCATTGTCAGGATACATTAAACCAAAATCAACTTTATTTCGTGCACACTCAAACTATTATTTTAATTATTTGAAAACCTGACGTTTTTTTTTTTATTGTTCTTGAAATCAATGGAAAGCTTAGATTTTAAGGGATAATTATGTGTGGAACGTTAATTTATTCAATGAAATTTTTTGTGAACCCTGCAGGACGTCAAAGTTAATGTAAGACTTCTTGAAAAAATTACTGTAGTTCGTTCATCCTAGCAACGGTTATTATTTCAATAGTTACCATAGCAACGGTTACTATAGCTTCAATTACCATAGCAACAGTTACCGTAGCAACGATTACTACAGAAATGGTTACTATAGCAACAGCAACCATAACAACAGTTACTATAGCAACGGTTACCATAGCAGCGGTTACCTTGGCAACTGTTAACTTAGCAACGGCTACTATAGCAACGATTACTAAATAAACGGTTACTATAGCAACAGTTACTATAGCAACGGTTACCATAGCAGCGGTTACCTTAGCAACTGTTAACTTAGCAACTGTTAACTTAGCAACGGTTACTAAACAAACGGTTACCATAGCAACAGTTACTATAGCAACGGTTACCATAGCATCGGTTACCTTGGCAACTGTTAACTTAGCAACGGTTACTATAGCAACGATTACTAAACAAACGGTTACCATAACAGCGGTTACCTTAGCAACTGTTAACTTAGCAACGATTACTAAATAAACGGTTACTATAGCAACAGTTACTATAGCAACGGTTACCATAGCATCGGTTACCTTGACAACTGTTAACTTAGCAACTGTTAACTTAGCAACGGTTACTATAGCAACGATTACTAAATAAGCGGTTACTATAGCAACGGTTACCATAGCTGCGGTTACCTTAGCAACTGTTAACTTAGCAACGGTTACTATGGCAACGATTACTAAATAAACGGTTACTATAGCAACGGTTACCATAGCTGCGGTTACCTTAGCAACTGTTAACTTAGCAACGGTTACTATGGCAACGATTACTAAATAAACGGTTACTATAGCAACGGTTACCATAGCTGCGGTTACCTTAGCAACTGTTAACTTAGCAACGGTTACTATAGCAACAGCAACCATAGCAACGGTTACTATGGCATCAGTTACCTTAGCAACGGTAGGTTACCTTAGCAACTGTAAACTTAGCAACAATTACTGTAGCAACAGTTACCATAGCAACGATTACTAAAGAAACGGTTACTATAGCAACAGCAACCATACCAACGGTTACTATGGCATCGGTTAACTTAGCAAAGGTTACCATAGCAACGGTTACTAAAGAAACGGTTACTAAAGAAACGGTTACTATAGCAACGCCTACTATGGCATCGGTTAACTTAGCAAAGGTTACCGTAACAATGGCAACCATAGCAACGGTTACCTTAACAACGATTGGTTACCTTAGCAACTGTTAACTTAGCAATGGTTACCATAGCAATAAAGAAAATATATCCACCTCTATTTTTGTCGAAAATACTTCCTGTCATTGCTCGAAAAAATTTTTTTTTTTTTCATTTTGTTGAAATTAAATCACTTTTCTCACACAAAACTGTTTGAACGGTTTTTTTTTTTTTTTTTTTGAAAGGAAAATGCATAAATTTTCAAACAAGTTTGGAGTGCATAATTTAGATGAGATTTTGTCGCAAGTAGAGTAAAGCTTTTGTCGAAACTATTGATGTTCATCCAAGTTAAGCTCACAATTTGAGATTCATACAAGAATCAAAGAGACGAAGATCGCGTAAACCGTGGAACATCGCGTTTATATATAGTGCACACCTAAATTCCCCACCTAACGCGCCATAATATAATGTAATGTAATGCTAAGATCAATTTTGTATTCTGAGCGTCACTTCCTAGTCTTAAGTACAAGCTTCTAGAAATTCTCATCATTACCATAGTTTTCACCTCTCTCTGTCTCTCTTATCACTTTAATATATTAAAACATCGTGCAGATATGCGCGGGCATAGATGAGTGATTTCTAAAAGTCATTCTTGGGGATTTAAACGCGCAAAAGAGAAAACGAGATAGAAAGAGAGAGAGAGAGAGAGAAGAGAGACAGAGACGATATTGTTTTTTCGAGAAGGGCACATGCAAGGGAAGAGAATGATTAACATGTAAATGAGAGAAAAGCGGCGACCTTTTCCTTTTTTGTTCCCTCGTTTTCGGATGGTTTGAAGTTCACTTTGTGATTGCGCGTAAACGAATCAAAGCGTGAATTCGTTTTTATTTTTTTTTTTTTGCTTTATTAATTTCTCATGGAAATATGTTCGAAATTCTTTTTAGTTTTATTTTCATTAGTTTAAAAAAAAAAAAAAATCTCAAGATTTTACATTGTAAAGTAATTTAATAGTTCAATTTCTGTTCCTTATATAACGTAAATATTTTCATCAATCAAATATGGACAATTGAAACTTTATTTGGTTGACTATATTTTCAATCTTATATCATCAGTGTTATTGTGAACGTCATGAAAATCACATTTTAAAACTATCGATTCATAGAATAATTTGTTTAAGTGTACGTATTTAAAAAAACAAAAAATTAATTAACATTTCTTAAAAAAATAATTAGTGACAAAAAATAATTGTTTTAAAAAATATTTTACCATGAGTGGAACACGAGCTATTATTTTCTGTTTGGCTATTTTTCCAACAATCATTGTTTATTGCAATTCATTCAGTTTTATCGACATTGTACAAAATCCTAATCTTGTTAAAAATCACTTGGCTTGCATTGAAGGATTAAAAGAATGTAGTCCGATGGAAAACAAAAACAAAGGTAAGAAGGTGAAAATACAGATTTATCCAAAACTATTTGCTAAATATGTGGTTTTATAAAAAAAAAAATTAATAACAATTTAATCAAAATCAAATTTTTTTTAAAAAATATATTTTCCCTTATTAAGTTTAGTAAATTCAAATTTTGCAAAAATTATCATAATTTAAAAAATTAAATTCTTAAAATTAATTAATTTTCATAAAAAAAATTTTTAATTTTAAATTTATTACAGAATTATTTTTCAAATATGCGATAAACAATTGCCAGGACTGTACACCAGATGAACGTAACAAGATACAAGTATTAGTGTGGTTTTTGGAGAAATATTATCCAACAGTGTACGCCGACCTTCAAAATCTCGCATCAAAATTAGCTTCGTCATACCAACAATATTAAACTTTACTTATATTGTCGAAAAAAAAGAAAATTTTTTTATATAGAAAGAACAAAAATTACTTTTAAATGTATATATGAAAAAAAAATGAAATTTTAAAAACAAAACCAATGTTATTTCATTACAAAACTTTTGTATAATACTTGAAAGAAAATTAATTATATTGTATAACATCTTTTATTTATTCTAAAATTAAAAAATATTCTCTAGAAAAAGAAATTAAATAAAAAAATTTTTAAAAATTAAATCTGTTTTTCATTTATTTCCTTTATGGAAATTTAAATTGATAAATTGTTCACAAATACAACAGAAACAATTTTTTAATATTATAAAATTGAATTTTTTTTTTTTAATCAAAAATTTACGAGATAAAAAACATTTTTTTGTAATTAATTTTTAAAAAATTCGTTTTCAAAATTTATTTATAAGAATTTGTATTTTATATATTTTTGTTAATACTTTTTTTTATTATTAATATTTGTAGTCAATAATTGAGTTTAATAATAATAAAAAATTTAATAACTATAAACGGTTTTTGAGGTGTTAAGTAAAATCCATGTTTAGAGAATTCACGTGGGAATATGGGAGAAAGAGAGTTTTGAGTTAAATTATGCGTATTAAGAAAACTAAGTGCTTGCGTTTATGTTAAACTCTCTTAGGACTTTATATGCTGTGCTTTCATTGGCATACACTGGTTTTAACATATATATATATATATATTGTATAAAGAAAAAGAAATATAAAGAGGAAGAAAACTTGTCGGAAATTTGCCATTGGTTTTGGCTTTGGCAATTTAAAAGTTCTCCTTTCACTCAAAATGTGCTCGTTTTTTTTTTCTTTTTTTTTGATATAGTACATATATAGGAAAAGTCTTATCACATCACGTACGTGAGCATAGAGAAGAAATATTATTTTCCCTCAAATTCCAACTCTATTTGCACTAACCGAAAAAGAAATCTCTCGCGACCATGCTGAGATCGACAGATTTAACCGCGCAATGCAACACGTTTAAAATTACCCTCAGATTCACAAAAGTTGTGTTCACCAACTTTTAAGCGAGAAAATTTCTAGAAATCACTTTAAATCTCCTATCAACTGCGGTGACGTCACTTTCGAAATTGACTTCGATTCACTTTATATTTTTCAAATAAATTATGAATTGTTTTTTTTTTATTTTTTAAATAAAAAAAATTTACAGACGTTAAAAAAAAATTTCAGCATATTAGAAACTTAAAAGAGAGTTTTTATTTATTTTTTTTTTTTTTGTTACAACTAAGATACTCGTCTTGTAATTAAGAACCTCTAAAGATGCCAAGGTTGCGCCTTCACTTTATGAGGGTAACTCCTATTAATAAACGAAGTTTTAGCTGTGCAATGCATTTACTGGTCGTATAAAAATAATAATTAATATGCATGAGATGGTACAAAACTTTAATCAAGTTCTTTAAAATAAACCTGAAGTAAATAAAAAATAAATTTATAAATCATGATTAGTATTTTTTTTTTTGACATTAAATTGTTTATTACTTAATTGAAGAGCTCTGGTTTTCGAAAATTATTTTATTAAAGGGAGAAAAGAAATTAAAAATGATATTTTAATAATTTTTGATTTGTTTTTGAAATTGAAAAATCAAAAAACCCGCGTTAAATTGTCGGTAATGTAGAAAACTATTTTTCCAAATTACAAGGTAAAATTACCAACAGTACAATGTTTTTAATGCAGAGGTTATAGTACACAGGATCCGAATAGGAACCGATCTTCACTGATCTGTTCACAGGATGAAAATGTTTTTTCTTATCAAATGTAATATACCATAAAAGATGTTGCAAATAGATTGCCTAGAATAATATGCTCAATGATATGATTAATTAACAATATAAAAATTTTTTTTCTCACTATTACACTCACTTGTTTACCAAATAAATTATATATACCAATCGAAAGTAAAAAAACCTAAAAAATATAGGCAACCGATGGGTTGCCTACTTTTTTTTTTTGTTCAAGAGTATTGGGTTGCCAAAAACAAACAGGTGAATAAAAATAGTAATTTGCGCTCATCTGTTTACTCAATAAAATATATATAGATAGATAATTTTATTGCGAACACGATGAATTATAAGGTTGCCTGCGAAAAAATGTTCAGGAATAACTGTTGGCAGGCTTTAAAGTTTAAAAATTAAAGTCAACTTGGGTCTCAAGTAGTTTTTGCCTGGCAAACACAAGATGTATTAAAAGCCTGGTTAAAACTCAGAGGGTAAGGTAGGAAATGCTTGAATTTTCCCTTAATTCACGCGCTCCCTACCTTACCATCTGAGTTTTAACCAGGCTTTTAAGGCCAGATCCAAGTCGTGTCAGTTGTTCCATTGAAACTTCAAAGGAACAACTGACTCGACTTGGAACTGGCCTTACACGGAGAGAAAAAAAAAGTTCCAACTGCTTTCTTTTAAGTCGTCATGTTGATCTTATAAAGTCAAGTAGTTATAACCAGGGAGCCAAGCTGTTTTGACTTGGGTCTTTAATTGCAGCTACTGGTGTTCTCAGGCGATACCGAAAAAGCTTTTCCCTGATCAATTGATACTACTTGAGACAGCCAGGCCAAAACTGCCTGGCTACCAAATTGTACTGACTTGTGTGTCGGTACTTGCGTTCACGCCTGCGTCGGTCAAGTAGATTCAACCGGAGTCTCCGATTGTTGCAACCTAATTTTTCTCTCCGTGTAATACATCTTGTGTTTGCCAGGCAAAAACTACTTGGGATCCAAGTTGTATGCTACTGCTTGAGTCACTCAGGCAGTTACTACTTGTGTCTCCGGTTATCATAGCCTTTTTTTCTCTCCCTGTATGATAACTTTTTTTTTGTATTATTTTTGTACTTTCTTGAGTGATTTTGTCGAAATTTTTAAATGGCTTTGATATACCGCATAATTTAACAAATTAATGCAGAACTAAAAATGATTTTTCTAATTGAGGTATTTGATGCAGTTTTTGCTATATATATATATATACATATATAAGGTAGTTGAGAATATTTATGATAGAAAATGGCTGCTTAGCAAGTAAAATCTAGAGCTTATACTAGGAGAACTGGTGCACGCTGACAACGTTTGGCTTTGATATCGGGGGATAGGTTATAATTGGTTTTATCTGGCTGTGCCGCGCAGAGCGACCATAATGAAAATGATACCTTGGCACGCGAGCGACCTCACCATACAGCAGCCAGTCGGTCTGCACGATATTACTATTTGCACAAAATTACCCCGCAAGATTGCTGTACTTACGAACACTCGAGTTTCGATCAACTCCATATATATATACACAGTAGTCGTTCGCCCTGTTTCTAGTCACCCTCTTGTTCTCGCGTGCGTACCTACCTAGATCGTCCTTGTACCGTAATTACTTCCACCTCCCCCCCCCCTTCAATGAACTACAAAAGTAACCGAGAATCAAATTAAAAATTGTACCTGCTCATGCGTGTCTGAATAATCGACTCAAATGGTTTCGCTACTTTGCATGAAACGCCGTTGCCCTTTCAAGATGGCACAATGATAATCTGCAAATTAACTCACTGTAGAATGCAGTAGTTTTCTTTTTGTTTTTGGCTGTCACGAACTAATCCTTACTAAATTTCAAAGAAAAATTATTTATTGCATTGGAATAAGGTGATGCTTAGATTTCAGATGATCCTATCTCTCAACTTATCATGTCCACAGAAAATAAAAGGTGAAATAAGAGGAAATAAATTTTTATTTTGCTCCAGATTCATTTTTACTGAGTAGGCGTGCAGACACACTTGGAAAGATTCCCCAAAAAGTGCACCCTGGAGGTTCTATCAGAATTCCGCCGGAACTTCCAACGTAATTCCGTCGGAGTTCCAAAGAATTTCCGATGGGATTCCGGCGGAATTCTGATTAATTTTTTCAAAATTTTTTGAGTCCTAATTCCGTCGGAACTCCTTCGGAATCCCATCGGAAATTCTTTGGAACTCCGATGGAATTCCAACGGAATTACGTTGGAAGTTCCGGCGGAATTCTGATAGAACCTCCAGGGGGCACTTTCCGGGGAATCTTTCCAAATGGTGAGAAAGCCCAAAAAAAATCATCTCACAAAAACGACTTCTAAACATCACTAAATTCTTCCATGAAAAAAAAAAAAATTCGCAGAAAACGTTGAATTTTAGCTGTCTACAGTGGCTTAACGGATTTAAAAAAAAATTGTACAAATATAAAAATTATAATACTCATTTAATATGATAAATATTCAAAAAGCATTTTAAATTATCATCACAGTAGGTGTTTTTTTTTCTTCTTTTTGTGAATTTACACGCACGTGACAATTACAATTCAACAGCAGCTATTTTGTTGTAAATAATTTCATTTCTTTAATAAAATTAACATGAAGATAAAAATTATTTAAAATTAAAATCGCTTCCTTGTAACAACAGTTGATAAAAAGCAAAACCGATTAATTTTCCAAAAAAAATCATTAATCGTATTTTGTACAAAAACAAAATGTCTATAAAAATTTTCACATTTATTTTAATACTGTGTGAGTAAATACTTAATAATATTTATTTTTTTAATTTCTTAAAAATGATTATTTTTTTTAAATCTTAGATTCTGTGAAAGAATTCAGATGTCAAGTTCCTTCCAATACAGATGACTTTATGAATTGTGAATTTGCAAGTAAATATCAATTTTCTAAAAAAAAGAAAATAAATCATAATAATGATATTTAATTTGCAGAAACATTAATAAAATTAGCAAATATCTTCGAAAATAAAACTGAAGAATCATTTATGGAGGCTAAAAAATTATTAAATTCAGAAACAATTGATATTAAAGTTCAATGTCGAATGAATAGAAATTTATATAATGTGGATATAAAACGAAAAGATTATGAAAATACTTTACAAAAAATGTTAAAAAAAGGTGTCAATTCACTCTTGGCTAATGATGCTAAAGAATTATGGTGTAGTATTGCATCATTTTTTCAAGAAATATCAAACTGTTATCCACATGACTTTTTTTTGGGGAAATTATCAATCCAGAATATTATATATAATATGATGTCAATAATTACAAAGGAAATAGTTAACAGGTTTAATTTCTGTAAGAATATTTTCATTTTATATAAATTTTTAATTTAGACAAAAATCTAATAGCGCACTAAATTTTTTCTTGTATTTCTAATTTTTTTTTTGTAATTTTTAATGCATTTCATATATTGATAGTCATAATTAATGGTCAACAACTTAAAAATGCAACTTCTTCTCATGAATGCCAATTGCGTCAAGATAAAAGAAAACTTTTATTCTTTCAAGAACTACTAATGCAAATGTCACCGATAATTGGTACCTGTGGGTAAGTTCTAATAAATAATTGCCAAAACAATGAAGCAATTATTGCAAAAACTAAATTAGCCAAAAAAATTATTATTCTTTTCAAAAAGTTGTATTTTATATATATATTTATTTTTTAGTGACAGTATCGTACAACGAGAATGCATGTTAAATAAATTTAAGGAATTAAATCCACATCTAAAGAAACAATTAAAAGTAATGATGAGTCCAATAGGATCAGAAAATTTATGTAAAGATCTCTAGACTCTTAACAATAAATAAAAAATGTGAAAATCATTGTGTAAATCATAAACATATTTTTATCATCCTAAGTACTTTTGAAATGTAAAAAAAAAAACTCAAAACAGATTTTACACTTTACTTGTAGGAGTTCTTTGAAAAAATGTTACTTCCTCTAAACATGATATGTCGAGAACAAAATCATCTGAATTTATAGAAAAGGAAAATGATTCTGTCAATAAATTACAAAATGATTAATACCAGGAAAATTTCGTTACTGAATAACAAGTTTTTATTGTAAATAGTAAAATCATTATCTCATGCGGTAAACCGTATATAGTATAAATTGATAAAAATTCAAATTTCTTTAAAAATAAATATCAACACACACACACATATGTTATATATGAACTACGATCACATTGTACATGACATTGTATGTTTACTTGACCTTATAGAATATACATTCAACAAAATGTACGATATACGCAATAAAATATTATTTATATCTTCTAAAACAAAATTTTTCCTTATGCAAAAAAGGAAAATAATTTTATATTTCCTACTTTTAAAAGAGATTCTTCTAAAGGGTTCAATATAATAAAACTGTACTAATATTTATTCAGTTAACAAATGAGATTCATTATTATGAAAATTGAATCAAAATATAGAGCACATTTTATTTACTAAAATAACTATTTTTTTTAATGAAATATTTATTATTTTTGATACAGAAAACCGAAAAAAAAAAATTTTCCTTATTATTTAAAACTTTAAACAAACTTTTGGCGTAGTTTTATATTATATATAAACCACGATATTGATATTTTAGTATCAATTGAAAAATGAAACTTACATTGCTTGCACTTTTAGCTCTTTTGAGCATTTTTATGATGACTGGAGTTATTGCTCAACCCGAGGAAGAAGGTGATAGAAATTGTCGAAAAAAAGGACAGAGCTGTCGAAGAAATAGACAATGCTGCAGCAAAAGATGCAATCGAAGTAAGTCAATTTTTTTTTAAACTTTATAAATTATATATTTTATAAAAAAGATTAAAAATATTCTAATTGTGATTCAATTACATGATCAATCCAAATTTTCAATTATCCAATTAAACACTGCATCTATTAAACTATCAGTCTTTCAATCTTTTCACCAAAAAATTAAAAGGCATTAAAATAAGCTGCAATATGCTTATTATTTTAATACAATTTTGCTCATTTTAATCCATTTTGGTATTAAAATAAGCAAAATTGGATTAAAATAATAAGCATTGCAGCTTCCCGAGTAGAAATCCCCAAGGTATGCCTAAAATGATAATTGGCCCTAAGCTGGTCCTAACTTGGCAGAAAATGTTAATATTTCCTAATTTGGTCCTAACTTGGTCCTGCTTTTACAAGCCATTTTAGTAATATCGGAATATTTTGGCATTATTAATTATAATTAATAATAATATTATAATAATAATATAATTATAATAATAAAATAATAACAAAATAATAAAAAAAATATATAAATACAATAATAAAAAAAATAAAAATATACCATAGTTTTTTAAAAATTTTAATTAATTATTAATTAAATTTATATTAAACAAAATGAGAAGGGTTACATTTCATTTGAATTTTTTTGCCCCTACTTTTTCAACCCTAGCAGACGAAACGGACGAAACTATAAGCAGAAGTTATTTAGAGGTTAAGTTCTTGTGTAAAAAGTGCAATGTAATTCTGCTTGTTTATTGATTTATTATTATTGATTACATTTTTTTATTTTTATTATATACACCCAGAAAAAAGGGATTGTTTATTTGAAAAAGTTAATTGCTTTGATTTGTTTTGTATCATTCGAAACAAATTTCCTTTTAAACAAAAAGTTTTTCTAAAATTTACATAAAGTTTCTTTGATTGAAATAAGTTGAAAAATTTAAAAGAATAAAAATTTCAATCAAAGAAGTTTCAATATTAATATAAAATCAAAAAAAATTTCTTTGATTAAAAAAATTAAAATTTTTCTGAAGCAAAGATAATTTTTTTCAAAGAAACTTTCTATAATTAAAAAAAAAAAAGATTTTATATCGAAGAGAACTATAGTGGAAGAAACTGATTTATTTAAATCATAGGGTGCAAGCTAAACCTTTGTAAAAGTCCAGTTATATTTAAATGTTTATTCTTTTTAAAAATCTACGAATATTTGATTGTTAATACATTATTTATGTACATACATGGTAATATATATTATATATGCGTAAAGAAACAAAGATTTTATAAGTAAGTTTTTGTATATATGTATGTACTAAAAGTAAGCAAATATATTAATTTCAATATAAAATACAAAAATTATGTTATCAAAATTTATTAACAAATAATTAATCCTATTAAAATTATGTGAATTTTAAAAAAGCTGGTCCTATCTAGGACCTAAAAAGGACTCTTATATTGGTCCTAAATAGGCACCCAAATTAGGACCAGGCTAAAATCGCATCACCAACCATTTTAGGACCAAGTTAGACTGCCAAGATAGGACCTAGATAATAAAACGGCAAACTAGATAGGACCAAGTTAGGACCATTTTTCAATTTCCACACGGGTTATTTTAATGCCTTTTAATTTTCTGTGTTAGTTTATTAATTCGTTAGAAAAAATAATTTCCCACCTTCCATTAGTGAAGTCTATAAATTTAATTTAATATTAATAATTTCAACATTTTAATTCTTTTTCTTTTACCCATTAACAGAAAGACACGTGTGCAAATAAATAAAGAATAACAATAAAATTATTCTTAACTGGAACAATGGTATAAAGATTCCTGCATGTTACAAATGACTAAACTCTGCATCAACTATGAATGGCCATCAACAAAATATGTTTAAAATATATTTTTAATGTAAAAAAAAAAATAATTTTTGCATTTTTTTTTTTAAATGATCTAAATTCTTATATGCATTATAAAGAAAATAAATATTTTTTTAAAACTATTTAACATATGTTGTAATATTTATTTTAAAAATATCTTTTCGATTTCTTAAATTATGACGATCGGTAATTTTGAGTTTCCTTAAGTTGATGTTTTTATATAAAACAAGAATAACTTTCTTGACGTCTATTATTTCAAATGTGAAGCATAATGATTTTTCCTCCTTCTTTCATTTATTAAATTATTTTTGTCTTAATTTGATGATATATAAACCTGAGTTTCATTAACAATTGATATCATTTAAAAAAATGAAACTCACATTATTAGCAGTTTTAGCTCTTTTGAGCGTTTTTATGATGTCAGGAGTGGTTGCAGATTCTTGCCGTAAAGAAGGACAGAGTTGCAAAAGAAATAGACAATGCTGTAGCAAGCAGTGCAATCAAAGTAAGAAGAATTCATTTTATTATATAGCAAGTCAATAACATTTCTAACATTGATTATAATTAATTCATAATGTTATTTTTGCAAATCTTTTTAAATTAGATACAGTATCCATATATTTTACATTTTAGTACTAGTAGTTACTTAACAAAATTAAAAATCTTTTTAATTTCTTTACATTATGTATATCAATTTTGAAAATAAATTTTTTTTTATGTTTACCTATAAAAAAAATAAATTCCGTATTTTCTTATTTACAGAAAGAGGTGTGTGCAAATAAACATCCTCTGAAAATGAAAAATATTACTGAATGGCAATAAAAAACGCTGCAAATTTAATCTGCAACAACTATGAAGTCTCATTGCCAAAATCTTATATATTTAATTATTTCATCCTAACAGAATATGTTGAATAATTAATTTTTTTCTCGAATATTTTGTCAAATTTTCTAATATGTTATGAATTCTTAGAAAAAAATAAACATATTTTAAAGCAATAATGTTTGTATTATTTAATTTAACAAAACATTTAATATTACAATTTATATCTGTCACCCAAAAGAGCTAAATTTCTCTCAGTGTAAAAAAAAAATTAAATATAAAGCTGTACTAATATTTATTCAGTTATACAAATATTTTCTCATTATTATGTTAATTGAATCAAAATATATTGCACATTTATTTATTAAAATAACTAATTTTTTTTAATAAAATTATTATTTTTGATGGAGATAACAATTATAAAAACTCTTTTTCTTATATTTTTAACAAAAATTTTTTTAGTAATTTTATATTATAAAAACCACAATATCAATATTGAGTAGTATCAATTGAAAAATGAAGTTTACTTTATTTGCACTTTTAGTGCTTTTGAGCGTTTTTATGATGACTGAAGTCATTGCTCAACCCGAGAGTAATTGCGGACAAAGAGGAGACAATTGCCGAGGAAATGGACATTGTTGCAGCGGACGTTGCAATCTAAGTAAATGAAATCATTTTTTATTTTCATTTAATTTACTAAATTATATTTATATAAATTGATATTAAAATTAGTATGATGTAAGTAACAAACCCAATAAACAAATTTAAATTTAATTTAATATTTTATTATACAAAAGATGAAAAGTTAATAGTTTCTACATTTTGATTATTTTTCTTTTGATATTAACAGGAGTACGAGTGTGCACAGGTTAACGATTGACGATGAAAATATTTTTAAATGCCATAATGGTGTAAGGATCTCTATATTTTACAAATGAATAAACTCTACTGAATGGCCATAAACAAAATTTTATATTTTATTTAATACAATTTTTCATGAATTTTTTTTGTGCTAAATATTCTGATATTTTATATGTATTATTGAAAAAATAAATATTTTTTTGAAGCATTAATATACGTTGTACTATTATTGTTACAAATATCTGGAACTTCCAAGGACTTTTTGTTGAATGGAAAGTTTTTTGTGCGCATTGCTTTTTGTATATTGTAAAGTTGTCATTTATCTTTTTATCCACGAAAAGTGTAGTTAGACTCTTTGGTGTGCATTGCTTTTGTGTGTATGTTGTAGAATTGTCAATTGTCATTTTTAGCAATGATTGTAGTTAGACTCTTTGGTGCGCATTGCTTTTGTCTGTATATTGTCGAGTTGTCAATTGTTTTTTGGTAGCGAAATTTATTTTGTTAAACATCTTGATGCGCATTGTTTCTGTGTACATATTGTAGAGTTGTCATTTTCTAGCAATGATTCTAGATAAATTTTTTGGTGCGTCTTGGTTTTTTATACTGTTGAGTTGCCATTTATCTTTTTAGCTACGAAAAGGGTAGTTAGACTCTTTGGTGCGCATTGCTTTTGTCTGTATATTATAGAGTTGTCAATTGTCTTTTGTTAGCTTTGATAAGTTTAGTTAAACTCTTTGGTACGTATTGCTTCTGTATGTATATTCCAGAGTTGTCATTTGTCTTTTTGCCTTATGCTTAGATTAATTTACCGCGAAAGGGAAGTATTTAGTACAAATAAAATTTCTTTGTTCCTTATAATATGTATGTAAATAAAAATTATGTGTTATCTTTATATTTCTGCGTCAGTTCCAATTATATAAAATATATCTCATAATTATATTCAAAAGAATGAAAATAAATTTCTTGTTTATTATTTTAAATGGAAAAACAGGAAACATTTTTTCCTTATTTTTCCATTATTTTTGAAGTATACATTTGCCTCAGTTTGAGGGTATATAAGCCATAAGTATTAATGCCTATTGGTATATATCAGTTGAAAAATGAAGCTTACATTTCTTGCACTTTTAGCTCTTTTGAGCGTAATTTTAATGACGGGAGTCGTTGCTGACGGTGGTGATGGTGGTGGAGATGGTGGTGATGGTGGAGATGGTCGTTGTCGACAAAATGGAGAACGCTGCCGTAGAAGTAGGCAATGCTGCAGTAGACGTTGCTGTGGACGTATGTGTATTTTCTAATTATTTAATAGTCAAAAATCCTTAAATTTCATGTATTTCAATATTTTTCCAATTTTCTGTTTATATTTGGAAGCTTTTTCGATTTTTTGTATAATCAGTAAAAAAATCAAATCAAGTAATATTTATGCATCTTTTTTTTATTTAACAGGTCGACACGTTTGTCACTAAAAAACATATGGATAATAAAGGTATATAAGGGTTCTTTACTTTTTTAAAGTAAAAAATTATTGAATCATTAATATTTCGAGAAACATGATTGGCAATGTAATTTGAAGTTCTATGTATTTCCTGTATAAATAAATGATTATTAAACAAGTACTTTTTTATTATTCATCTTTTAGAGATTTAAAATTAGGTTTGTATTTGATATTTTGGAGAATTGGACAAAAAAAAAATTAGCAGAAATGGTAAAATTCATTCGTCATCTGCTATAAAGAGATCTATTTTTGTAAAATTAAGAAATTGAATATCATTTACCGAAATAGATTTATTTTAAAAAATTTATTAGCATTTTTATTAACTAAACATAATTGTGCAGCTGTTACAGTAAAATTTCTTTGCTGCGCTAAAAAAAACATCTGTGCTGTCAAAACGTACATTATATTTTTTAATTTATCATTTTAATTTATTTAACTAAGTAATAAATTCTATTACTATATTGTATATATTTCTTGACGTCTATTATTTTTTATGCAAAACAGGAAATAAATTTTCCTTGTTATTTAAATTTTTTAAATCACTGTTTCCTTAGTTACACAGTATATAAACCAAAGTATCAATCATTATTGATATCAGTTTGTAAAATGAAACTTACAGTTTTTGCAATTTTTGCTCTTTTGAGCGTATTCTTAATGACCGGAGTTGCTGCCGATTATTTCCATCATCATGGTGGTGCAATTGACAATAACAATTGTTTAAGACTTGGAGCTCATTGTCTTAGAGGGACAGAATGCTGTAGCGGACGATGCTGTGGAAGTAAGTACTATTTTTTTTTGATTTTCTCAAAAATTTTTAAATACCTATTTCATTTGGAATAATTACAAATTTACAATAACTAAAATGCAATTTAAAAAATAAGTTACTTTATTCAATATTTTTCTACATAAAATATGTTTTTTTGGTTTATTTCAACAGGAAGACAAGTCTGCATTTATGAATAAAATTCAATAATAGTAAAAATACTTTTGGATATGTCAAGAATAAAATTTTACACCAAAGGTGGTGATTAAATCTAAGTTTGTCAATCTACATTGTACTTTCCGGAAAATAAATAACTTTATATAATTACTTATAGCATTTTTATTTAATCTTAATCTATAAGGAAAAAAAATTAGAATTAATAACTACTATCATAACTTGCTAACGCTAAAAAAAATATTCCTTAAATTTTAATCTCAATTCGTATCTTTATATCTAATTTTTAATTTTTTGTAATGAAATAACCAATTTTATTAAATCAAGTGTAATAAGTTTTGATAGCGTAATAAAATTTCAATGTATACCAATTTTTGAAACGAAATCATGAGTACAAGAGTTCCGAAACACTTCTCCAGTGAATCCGGACAGCGGAATGCAAATTTCGACGATGAATTCTCTGAAATTCTCAAGTTCCATAATCATCGCAATTTCGTCGTACGTGATGTAATTTTGAATGGAGATTATTCAAATTCAGAGTGTGCGCACGACGCGAAATGTAGGATGAGAAGTTCGCGTTACTTGGCCCCATACACCTCTTCAGTACTCCCACCCTGATAGTCTAACTGGTTGTACATATATGTTTGGTGGTGTACGCTTTGTGTCAAGCTCTGAGACTACCTGTCAAACTAAGCTCGAACAACGTTGAATTACGCGACACGAAAGCAATGCAATTGAAAGGGAGAGGATAAATGGAATTTAGACTAAAGAAAAGCAAAATTCATTAAATCTCTAAATTTTCATATAGCTTATAATGTCATCAATAATCAAAAAAACAAAAAATTTTAAACTAATCAAATTTTATCATTTAAATTAAAATCCCTCAATAAAATAGTAAATTTTAAAAATTAAATTCAAAAATTTCATTTTGATGATAAAATTTTTGGGTTAAAAATCAGAAATAAATGAAATGAAAATCTATAGATCAATTGAAAGTAGTAAAGTTTTTAAAAAAAAATAGACGAATCGATATGCATCACAAATTATAAATACTTCCACTTTTAAACGACTTTAGAAGATTAAAACTTTTATGGCATTTGTCAGTTCTTTCTTCATTTTGTATTACTCTTAATTTACTGATTCTTTGAAAAATTAATAATCCTCTTGTTGACTTAATATTTTAGTTTTGTTAATAATTTTTACTAATAAAAAAAATTTCACCAAAAAAAAAAAAATTAAATTATTAATAAACAAAAATACCTCAATATAAAAATGATTGTATATAAACATTTCGTTGAAATTAAATACATTGCATAAGAATTTAACTGTCGTTCAGAGATTACTGTTCTGTATTATTTTAAGAACTGACTGATAAGACTTATATATATTATCCCTGTGATTTTTTCTGCCTTATCAATATTTTGATGAGGAAGAATGTACACATATCAAAAAAAAAATTATCTATTTTTACAGGTATCAAAAATTGACACTTCTTTTGATTTCTATCTATTCAAATACAGTTTATATATATAAAAAGAAAATGATAATTTTAAGAAAGAAGGAAAATGACATAACTTAATACTACAGCATCAGCGGAAAAAATAAAAAATAAAAGTTCTAAATAAAAAAAAAGTTAAATAATACTGCTAAAAAGAAAATTAAAAAGAAAATTAAAAAGAAAATTAAAAGAAAATTGAAATAAAGTAATAAAACTAAGTAAAAGTAACTTAATAAAAAAGAAATAATTTATCTTTTTTTTTTTTGCACAATTTTTTTTTCTTAATTACATTTTTGAGGAAGCAATCAATTATAAATTTTGTCAGTTCATATACAGATATGCGAAAAGACAATAATTTACGAATGATGAAATTATGTTATCGATTGTGATTTAATTTGATTACCACATAATTTAGGGTATATAAAAATGTTACATGAATTATAATTTACAAATTGAACCGTCATTTAAAATGAAGTTACCATCTTTGATTTTATTTTGCCTTCTGGCAACTGCATTTGGTATGTAATACAAAAAAAAAAAAATTTTTTTTCTTAAAAATATTTAATATTTCGAGAAATTTATATTTTACATATATATATTTTTAATTCTTTACATTGTGCCTCTCGCATATTTATTGTTTTTAATTTATTTCTTATTATCTGAAAAAATTAACTTTCACTTTTTTTTTTGACGATTCTATTGAAAAAAAGTTTGATGATTACGAATACGATGTCTGTTTTTCAAAATTCAAAATGGCGAATCCAATATGGCGGAGGATTTTTTAAAAATATATCATACAGCTTAAAATTTTGTCACTCGGGGGTTTTTCGGATCGCTGATTACGAATCCGATGTCTGTTTTTCAAAATTCAAAATGGCGGATCCAATATGGCGGAGGATTTTTTTAAAAATTAATCTTATTCGCTTAAAATTTTGTCACTTGGGGGTTTTTTGGGTCGCGGATTACGAATCTGATGTCAGTTTTTCAAAATTCAAAATGGCGTATCCAATATGGCGGAGGATTTTTTAAAAATATATCATACAGCTTAAAATTTTGTCACTCGGGGGGTTTTTGGGTCGCTGATTACGAATCCGATGTCTGTTTTTCAAAATTCAAAATGGCGGATCCAATATGGTGGAGGGTTTTTTTAAAAATTAATCTTATTCGCTTCAAATTTTGTCACTTGGGGGTTTTTTGGGTCGCTGATTACGAATCTGATGTCTGTTTTTCAAAATTCAAAAAGGCGGCGCCAATATGGAGACAATATTTTTGACATGTTTTTCGAAAATTTATCAAATCAACTTAAAATTGGAGTTTTCTTGTAGTCGCTAGTTTTAATGAAAAAAAAAAATTAAGAAAAAAATAGTAATTGATTTCTTGCAGGTTCTCCAATATTGGAAGAAATTGAAGAAACATTTGCATTAAATAATAAACTGAGTGGACGTATTGTTGGTGGAAATGCAGCAAATACTGGAGCTTTTCCTTATCAAGTTTCACTTCAAAGAGGGTATTCACATTTTTGCGGCGGTTCTATTTTAAACAAACATTGGATTTTGAGCGCTGGTCATTGTTTTCGCGAGTGAGTTATAATTGGGAAAAAATAATAAAAACAAATTTTTAAATTAATTAATATTATAACAATATAATTATTTGATTTATTATAAATTTTTTTTTTCTTTTGCAGTAAAAATTTATTTGGCAAAAATGTTGTCGTTGGAACGAATAATTTAAAGAAAGGTGGCGATAGTTTTAAAATAAAAAGAGTTATTGTTCATCCTCAATTTAATATTATGAAATTGAAAAATGATTTAGCACTTATTGAAATTGAAGGAATTTTAGAATTCTCTTCAAATGTAAAACCAATTTCCCTACCGACTTATGATATACGTGAGGCTGATACATCGGTTGTTGCATCCGGATGGGGTAGATTAAAGGTAAATTTTGAATATTTTAACATTATTATTATTTTTTTTGTTGGACATAGATATTTCAAGAAATAGATTTTTATCAAAATATTTTTCACATTTTAAAAGGTAAACGGAGTAGTTCCCATACAATTGCAATATTTGAATAGTAAAATCTTCGATCACGGGAAATGTAAAAAATTCAATTTACTTGTATCAGAGACGAATATTTGTACATTCACCAAGAAAGGAGAAGGTTTATGTAATGTGAGTATATATTTAGTCAAATTGCAAAAAGGAAAAAATTGTATAAATTATTTTTTTAAAAATTAATAATAATTTTTATAGGGTGATTCTGGTGGTCCAATAGTAGCAGGTGAATATCAAGTTGGAATTGTTTCATGGGGAAATCCCTGTGCCAAAGGCTCTCCGGATGTTCATACAAGAGTATTCAGCTATGTTGATTGGATCAATGAGAACATAAAATAATAACAAGAAACAAGACATCCTAATATCTTATTTTTGTAAAAAAAAAAAAGTGTATATATATTTAAATTTTACATGATGAAGATTTCTTTATTGATGAAAATAAATCTATTTTTTACAATAATGATGTTTTAATTAGAAAATCAAATGTTTAACGAATTTTTTTTTTTTAATTTTCATTATGTATATGATAAATAATAATTTATATTATCGAAAGATTAGAAATTGATAAAGATGTGCTTTTATCATATTTTGTTACACAAAAATGGTTTTATCGATTTTGATTAAAAAATTTGATATACTGATTAGTTCATATAAAAACTGTAGAAAATTTTCAATTTTTTTCAAAGCTACTTCAGAGAAAATGAATTATCTCACCTCGTTGATTGTCCTCTGCCTATTGGCAAATTCATTTGGTAAATTTATTTTTTATTACATTCTTAATTGAAAAATATTTTACTACTGTAATTTTTTTTTATTCACACTATAAGTTTGAAAATAATACATTAAAATTAAAGCAACGCCATGGTTTGATAAATCCGATGAACTTTCTGAAGAGGAAATTTTCACTAATAAACTCGACGGTCGTATTGTCGGCGGAAGTCCAGCTCCTGAAGGCGGTTTCCCGTATCAAGTTTCTCTTCAACGAAATGGAAAGCATTTCTGCGGTGGTTCTATTATAAATTCACAATGGATTTTGACAGCAGCACATTGTCTTCAAGTGTAAGTAATAATAATTTATTACTGCATTCAAAAAAAAGTTTTATACATTTTGTCTGTTTGAAAAAAAAAAGTTGATTTTACAAACAAGGTACATAATACCAAAAAAAAGTGTTAGTTATCTCTTTTATTCTAATTTTGTTTTGAAAATTTATTTTCTTTACCAGCGTCACTGCTGAACAAGTCACAGTTGTTGCGGGTACAAATAATTTAACATTAGGAGGAACACAATACAAAGCAAAACGTCTAGTTGTTCATCCAAATTTTGATCTGAGAAAAATAGCCGGTGACATTGGTTTACTTGAAATTAATGGAACAATAACATTTAATGCAAGAATTGGAAAAGTATCACTTCCATCTACTGATGTTTCGGATGCCAATACACGAGTTGTTGTTTCTGGTTGGGGAAAAACTTGGGTTAGTGGAAAAAAAATATATTTTTTTGCAAATTTTGAATAATTACTTTATTTCCTCTGCAGGTATTTGGAAAAGTTTCACTTGTATTGAAATCTTTAGAAACAAGAATTCTTAGGCATACATTCTGTCGACTTTTCAATGTTATGAGAATAACTGATAAAAATATTTGTACAATTAGTAGAATTGGAAATGGAGTTTGTCACGTAAGTAATGATTATCTTATTTCTCTTTTTTTAAAGGACAATAAATATATAAATTCTAATTTACAGGGTGATTCTGGTGGTCCATTAGTTGCTAATGGTGTTCAAATTGGAGTTGTTTCATGGGGACTTCCATGTGCTTTAGGAGCACCTGATGTATATACACGTGTATATAGTTACAAGGATTGGATCGACGGTTATGTTAAGAACTAAATAATTTTGATACAAATAGAGAAAATAAATTTTTAAATGACCTAAAAACTGATTCTCTTTAGATACTAATTAAAATTATTATACGTAATAATTTTTGTATTCTTCTACTACGAAAACTCAATTTGTAAATAAATCAATAAATTTAGTTACTATTTACAGAAATTATAGTCATTTTATTAAAAATCCTTTTTGTTTACAGAAATTTTTTAATACAATCAAAAAAATAGTAATAATAAAATGTGATTCTTCGGCTTTAATTAAAGTTCTCACTTTTATTATCTCTTACTTTTGATTTTAACATCTTCTTCTATTCTTATTTCTTATTTGGAGAAATATGTTTGTTGATAAATGGTAAATAATCATATACATTTGTATGAATATCTGGAACTCCGAGTGCACATGGTAAACCTCTTGAAATAACTCCAACTAAATATTTTCCTGCCAGTACTACTGGACCACCAGAATCACCCTATATGAAAACAATTTTAATTTACTATATTTGTAAATAATTTTGAAATTGTAAATTTGAATTCATAAATTCATACCTGACATATTCCTTCTCCCAATCTCGTAAATGTGCAAAATTGAGTATTTGAAAGATGTGGAACTGATTTTTCACAAATTGTACTGTTGATAATTACAGTGTTTAAATATTGTAGCTGAGTTTCAAAAACTCCATTAAACTGAAAAATATAATCAATTTTTTATTCACTTATTACGGATAATGTAAAAAAAAGTATCGTTCTACAGTAACAATTATATAAACTAACTTCTTTTGTGCCAAATCCAGATAAAACAACTGGATCATTATCATGAATAACATTCTCATTTGGAAGTGCAATCGGTTTCACATCAGACGTGAATGTAAATTGGTTGTGAATTTCAACTAAAGCTATGTCATTAAGCATAGTTCGTAAATGAAAATCAGGATGAATTATAACATTTCTTACATGATAAAAGTAACCTCCTTGTCCTACATTATTTGTACCAACAAGGGCCCCCATATGTTCTAGGGGAATACTAATGAAAGGAAAAATCATAATTATAATAATGTTAAATAGAATTAAATAAAACCAAATAAAAAAAATAACTCACTTTACGAAACAATGAGCAGCTGTTAATACCCATTTAGAATTTATTATTGTACCTCCGCAAAAATGATGACCATATGATTGTAACGAAACTTGAAAAGGAATACCATCAGCTTTTATTAGTTTTCCATCTTTAAATTCTCCTATAATTTCACCATTCTCTACTACAGAATTATTTAATTCTTCAGGATTTGCTAGAAATAAAATAATTCAAATTATTTTTTCATTAATTTGTAAATTATAGAAATTGTTTTTTAAATATACATACCAAAAGCAGTCACTGAATTATAAAATAAAATTAAAATCAAAAAATGATACATTTTGTTTTTACTTTATGTTATTGAATAATTAAAAATCTATAACACTTAATGATCATTCAAGTTCCTTACTGACTTATTAAATTGTAAGAGCACATCTTTTATACTACACATTATTATCATTTTACAAACGATAACTTTATCACATAAATACATAAATTACTTAACACAAATGGTACAAGAAAAAATTTATTTCCCAAAATTATACAAGCGAATAACGATTAATTTATCAATAGGAATTTCCAATTTTTCACATAATTCATTTATTTCGACAATATTAATGATGATAACTTAAATGAAAATTGTAGTTTCCCCAATGATTAACATAAAATTCCTATGTAAATTATGAGATTATTATTATTTATCCTCTATTTCTTCTTTTTTCAGATTTATATGTAACTGATTTAATCCAATCTTTAAAAAAATACAGATGGGTATGAGCTTCTGGAAATCCCGAAGCACAAAATTCCTCCATTCCAGATGATACTAATCCAACTTGATAATTACCCATCACAACTGGACTACCTGAATCACCCTGGAAAAATAATACAAAATCAACTGGAAAGTTTCCAAAAAGTGGATCTAAAAGGATTTTAGGAAACAATTATATTTTAATGGAATTATTTTCTTACAGGACAAGTTCCTTCTCCATACTTAGTAAATGTACAAAAATTTGTTTTTAAATTTGGATAATATTTTTCGCATGATGCATGATTAAAAATTTTACTATTTAAAATATTTAAATTAATAGAAGCTCCTGGAGTATTCTGCAAAAAAAAATACAAAACTTTTAACATTAATTTAAATTGAAAAATATATATTATAACAAACACTTCATTTTTATAAAAGATATCTTGTTAATTGGATTAATTCTATCAAATTAATAATTTACCCCATTTTGGCCCCATCCACTTATAACAACTCGTGCACCATCGCTAATCATATTACTCTGGGGAAGAGTAACTGCATGTAATGTAGAGGTAAAAATAAAGGTTTCAAACATTTCAACAAGAGCTATATCGAATTCAGGTGTATGGTAAACATAATTTGGATGTGTGATGACATCTTTTATTTCATAAACATTTCCACGTTTATGATTACTTGAACCAGCAACTAAATAAGTGTCATAAGGGTCTTTTCTAGAATAAACACAGAAAATTAAAAGTCATTAAAATAAGCTGCAACGCTTCTTATTTTAATCCAATTTTGCTTATTTTAATACCAAAATGGATTAAAATAAGCAAAATTAGATTAAAATAAGAAGCGTTGCAGCTTATTTTAATGCCTTTTAATTTTCTGTGAAAACAATAATGACAATTTAAACTATTAAAGAATATTAACATTAATAATCGGTAAGCCAACAAGTAAGAAGATCCCCATACGTGGAAAGTGTTTCATACTAGATCATGAATAAATTAAATATTAACATTAATAATTGGGAAGCCAACAACAAGGAAGATCCCCATATGTGGAAAGTGTTTCATACTAAATCATGAATAATTTCAATATTAACATTAGTAATTCTGAAGCCAACAAATATGAAGCTCCCAATATGTGGAAAGTGTTTCATACTAGATCATGAATAATTTTAATATTAACATTAATAATTAGGAAGCCAACAACCATAAAGATCCCAATATGTGAAAAGTGTTTCATACTAGATCATGAATAATTTTAATATTAACATAAGTAATTGTAAAGCCAACAAATAAGAAGATCCCAAAATGTGGAAAGTGTTTCATACTAGATCATGAATAATTTTAATATTAACATTAGTAATTGTGAAGTCAACAAATAAGAAGCTCCCAATATGTGGTAAGTTTTTCATACTAAATCATGAATTATTTTAATATTAACATTAATATTTGGCAAGTCAAGAACAAAGAAGATCCCCATATGTGGAAAGTGTTTCATACTAGATCATGAATAATTTTAATATTAACATTAGTAATTGTGAAGTCAACAAATAAGAAGCTCCCAATATGTGGGAAGTTTTTCATACTAAATCATGAATTATTTTAATATTAACATTAATATTTGGGAAGTCAACAACAAAGAAGATCCCCATATGTGGAAAGTGTTTCATACTAGATCATGAATAAATTAAATATTAACATTAATAATTGGGAAGCCAACAACAAAGAAGATCCCCATATGTGGAAAGTGTTTCATACTAGATCATGAATAATTTTAATATTAACATTATTAATTGGGAAGCCAACAACAAAGAAGATCCTCATATGTGGAAAGTTTTTCATACTAGATCATAAATAATTTTAATATTAACATTAATAATTGGGAAGCCAACAACAAAGAAGATCCCCATATGTGGGAAGTGTTTTATACTAGATCATGAATAATTTTTGTTACTACCAGTAACGTTAGTTATTACCTTCTGTAATAACAATAAGTTGAAAAATACTAGAACCAGTACTTGAGAGAAATTTTTTCATACCAACTGGCGAATAATTATGTTATTAAGTTTAATAAATACCTATGATAACAATGTGCAGCAGTGAGTACCCATTTTTTACTTATAATTGAACCTCCACAAAAATGATGGTGGTTTTTATATTTTTGCAAAGAAACTTCATATGGAACAACATGACTTGGAGTATATTTATATCCTTTTCTTTGAATTCTACTACCAATTATACTATAACCTATAGGAGAATTATCACTAATTATAAATAAATATTTTTTATATCATAATGATAATATAATGATTATATAAATATTGTATATTAAAAACACGTTTACACTACCAAAAAAACTGATTAAGAGACAGGACAGTACAATCAAATATTGTAGTGAATACATTTTTGTTGATTTCTTTTTTTAGACATCGCGTTTTATAACTTCATCATTCTCATTAATCCTATCAAGTATAGTTGATAAATACCATTAATTATTGACATTTTGACATAATATAAAAAAAAAGTTATTCAAATACAATGTCTGATATGAAGATTGAAGAATTAAAAGAAACGTTATTGGAATTTCCTGCTTTATACAAAAGTCCAAATGAAATATCATAATAATTACTTAGAGGATTTATTTATTTTAATGTTGCATGAAAATTTTTGTAGCCCTCTAAGTCCTTTGAGAATACTCCAATTCAAAAATAACCTTTAGCTACCTAGACACGAATAACGGATAATTAAGGATTCTCTGACCATCACCTTGACAAAGAGGGTTTCACTAACCATGATCTATGAGCATCCCTTATATGAGTGACCTTTGACCATTTGGACTTTCTCTAGGGATGGTAAGGCGGGACTTCACTTCCCTTATTTGAAGTTCCTAATGAAGAAAAACTTTTCTTGTCTTAAAGGTTGCTTGGGCACTTTCGATACACTGTTATTATTATTTCCTTAGTTTTGTTCAAAATTACATAAAAGTATTTATCTACATAAATAAAAAATACCGATATTTAATTGATGCTTTTTTAATTTTTGCTTTATTAAAAAATCAAATACATACAATATTTTTAAATCAATCACATTTGTTAAAGTCTAGTATAAATTATAATACTACATATTTTACACTTTTGTAAAGAAAAAAAAATTAAGAAATAATTCTTCATTTTCAATGAGAATCCATAACAAATTTAATCCAATCAACAAATAGATAGACATTGGTATGAATATCTGGATATCCTTTAGCACATCCATAATAATGAACAGCTGCAGCTATTCCAACTTGATAATCACCCATAACAATAGGACCACCTGAATCCCCCTAAAAATTATAATAAAATCATTAGGGATATTAAATATTCAAAAAAAAATATTTAAAAAACTGATTTAAATTAACAGAGATCAATTAAAATATGAAACCTATATTTTATAAGGACAAATATTAAATACTTCAATGCAAAAATAAATAATTTTCTTACCATACAAGTTCCTTGTCCCATTCGAGAAAATGAACAAAAATATGTTTGTAAATTTGGATAATGTTGTTTACACAATGAATGATCATAAATTTTACTATTTATAAATTGTAACTGATTTGGAGAACCTTCATGAGTCTGAAAAAAATGCAAACATTTTTAAATTATATTTGTGAAACAAAATTGTAAACTGTTAAAAAGATTCCTAATTTTTTAAAAGAATAACTATTTAGTTGAAGAAAAATTATATATTTTAATTAATAAAAAATTTACTCCTGTTTGGCCCCATCCAGTTATAACAACATTTTTATTATTCTTAAGCATATTCCTATTGGGTAGAGAAATAGGAGATACTGTAGAGGAATATATAAATTTGCCAGAAATTTTAATAAGACCTATGTCATTCTCACGATCTTGGTTTTCATAATAATTTCTATGTCTGAAGGATTTATCTAATTTGTGTCTTTGTCCTCGTGTACGATCATTTGTGCCAGCCACAATAAAAACTTGAGAAACATCTATACTATAACAAAAATTAAAAAATTGATAAGCTTTGCTTTTCATTTGTACATTAATTATAGAATTTTATAAAATTATAATAGTTACAAAGAAAATAAAAGGTTATTTTTTTTTAAATTAATCAAAAATTTTTTCATTTACTTATTAAAAATGACTTACTCTTTAAAACAATGTGCAGCAGTCAATACCCACTTTTCATTTAAAATTGAACCACCACAAAAATGAAATCCCCTCTGTTGCAAAGAAACTTGATAAGGTATAGCTTCAGCTTCAACTAGTTCTCCATTATGAAATTTTCCTTTTATCCCACCACCATTTATGCCATATGCTATAATAGAATAAACATTATAATTACCATATAATATGTATTAATTATATAAATGTATTTGAAAAATTTTTAAACTACCGAAAAAAGTTATTAAGTAGCAGCACACAATCAAGTTCTTTAGTGAAAACATTTTTGTTGATTTCATGTTTCAAACACTTCTTTTTATAAGTTCATCATTATCATTAATTTCTGATAATTTGACTTAATATGAATAATAAATTATTGACTCTAATACTCAAGATGAGAAAATAAAAAAAAACCGTTAATGGAATTTCCTATTTGATATAAATATACTGATATTTACGCAAATCAACTAAAACGGTCGATTTCATATTAACGATTTCATTTTAGTAATCAATAAATGAATACATAGCGAAAGTTTATTAAATTTTTTATGACTATGATAAGTCGAATATTTTTGTTTAGTATAAAACAAAATCAATCAAAATTTATGCTGAACAATAATTGCTGTAAAACTATAACTTGTATTTTTAAAATTTTTGTCTCATTCATTAAATTAAGCTCTAATCTTAATTCTACTTTAACAATAAAATTTTAAACTAGATTTTTAAATTATTGACCGAAAAAAGATATTGAACAGGTGTTTCATAAGTTAATGACGCTATGATACTTGACATAATTTTATATCAGCTTGCCGCATAACCAAAAAACTTATAAAATATCATATTAGCTGCATTAAATTTTGTTCCAATTTTAAATATAAGTTCAAAATAAATGTATTGCATTTTAAACTGGACAAAAATCAAGAGTTATTAAATTTTTCATACTTTGCTTTATTAAAAAATTGAATACATATATATATATATATATACTTATATAATTTTAGAAACAATCAATGATGTATTTTAAATATAAACTTAATCCATTTACTTAAAAAATAATTCTTAATTTTCAATTATAATACATAATATAATTAATCCAATCAATGAAAATGAATACATTGGTATTAACATCAGGAATTCCTATTGCACATTCTTCGGTTCCAGATGATACTAATCCAACCTGATATTCACCAATCACAACTGGACCACCAGCATCACCCTAAACAATAATGACAATTTAAACTATTAAAGAATATTAACATTAATAATTGGTAAGCCAACAAGTAAGAAGATCCCCATATGTGGGAAGTTTTTCATACTAGATCATGAATAATTTTAATATTAACATAAGTAATTGTTAAGCCAACAAATAAGAAGGTCCCAATATGTGGAAAGTGTTTCATACTAGATCGTGAATAATTTAAATATTAACATTAGTAATTGTGAAGCCAACAAATAAGAAGATCCCAATATGTGGAAAGTGTTTCATACTAGATCATGAATAATTTTAATATTAACATTAGTAATTGTCAAGCCAACAAATAAGAAGATCCCAATATGTGGAAAGATTAAAAAAAAATTTTCAATTAAAATAATTGTCTTACGTGACAAGTTCCTTTTCCCATATCAGCAAATGTGCAAAATTGTGTTTCTATTTGTGAAAAAATTTGTTCACATAATTCATGATTGTAAATTTTACTATTTAAAAATTGTAACTGTCTAGGAAGTCCTGGAGAAGTCTGAAAAAATATAAAACATTTCTGAAAATTAACATGCGTGACAAATGGAAAATTAATTATTATCATAACTTTCTCATCGAGGAACAATTATATAATTCAATTAATAATTTACCCCTATTTCGCCCCATCCAGTTATAACAACATTCTTATTATCCTCGATCATATTAGACGTGGGAAGAGAAATAGACGATACTGTAGAGGAAAAAATAAAATATCCATTTATTCTAATAACAGCTATGTCATTTTTATTCGTATTTTTATTAAATTGTGGATGTAAGAAGACGTTTTCTACTACATATCTTTGTCCTCCTCTACTATCATTTGACCCAGCTATAACTGATAGTCTTGAGCGATGTATTCTAGAATAAAAATTATAAAAATCGGTTATATTGTACCTTTCATAGTTCTCGAATGACATGAAGAGAATCATCTATTGCTATATCTATCTATATTTTAGGAAAAATAATTTCCGGTGGAATTCCTATAGAATCAGAATATTAATAAAACGGAAATTTAGAAATTAACTTAAATTTATTTTTGATACTTTTCATACAGACAAAAGCCTATTTACCTATTAAAACACTGTGCAGCAGTCAATACCCAACTATCACCTATAATTGAACCTCCACAAAAATGTCGTCCTCTTTTTTGCACAGAAACTTGATAAGGTACAGCATCAGCACTTACTAGTTCCCCATCACGAAATTCTCCTATTATTCCAGCACCATTTACCCCACATTCTAAAATAGAGTCGTCAGTATAATAACTATATAAAATATGACAAATAATAATAATTTTATTATATAGTAATTTTATAATGACAATTAATTACATTACCGAAAAAAGTTATTGAGAGACATAGAATCAAGTACTTTAATGAAAACATCTTTATGAAATGCTGGTTTGAAACATCTTCCTTTATAACTTCATAATTATCACAACAATTATCAATGTTGATTATTGATAATTTAATACAATATGAATAACAAATTATAGAGTATAATATTTGGGAAAATAAAAAAACCGTTATTGGAATTTCCTTATACATTAATAATTTTTTATTTGTGTTAAAGTTTTACATATACATTGATCAAATTTAGTGGAATTTCCTCAATGATAATAAATATAAAATCCAATATTACATTATCTATATCATAAAATATTTAATTAATAAATAACTCTTCATTTTATATTATTTATTTACAATCGATGCAATCCAATCAACGAAAAGGAACACATTGGTATGAACATCAGGAGATCCTGAAGCACAATATTCTGATCCAAATGAAACTAAACCAACCAGATATTCACCCATTGCAATTGGACCACCAGAATCACCCTAAAAAATAATAACTATTATTAAATCAACTGCCTAAAAACATTTTTATTTTAAATATCAGATTTTATTTATTAATTTTTTGAGTAAAAATATAGCTAAGACATATATTAAATTATTATTTAAATGAAATAATTTTCTTACAGGACATGATCCTTTTCCATACTGAGCAAATGTGCAAAAATGTGTATCTATTGGTCCAAATGATTGTTCACATATTCTATGATTGAGAATTTGACTATTTATAAATTGTAACTGAATTGGAGATCCTGGACGATTCTAAAAAAATATCAACGTTTATTATTTATTAAATAATTATTATTTATCAATAAAAATTAATGATTTACCCCTAGTTGTCCCCATCCAGTTATAACAACATTCTTATTATCACCAATCATATTTCTTTTTGGAAGAGAAATAGCCGATACCATAGAAGAGTATTCAAATCTTCCATGAATTTTAATAACAGCAATATCATTTCTGTTAATCTGCTGATTATAATATGGATGCACTTTGACTTTTTTTACTCTATATGTTTTCCCTTGTGTTCGATCATATGAACCAACCATAACTTCTACGCTATGTCGATGTATACTAAGAAAAAAAATTATAAAAATCAATTAGATTTGCGTGGTTCTAATTTTAAAATCATCTTTTGTTATGGTTTTCATTTAATTGAAACTAATCAAGTTCGTTAGTATTCAAATTAATCAATATTTTTCAATTACTCATTGAAAATGACTTACTGTAGAAAACAATGTGCGGCAGTCAATACCCACTTTTCACCTATAATTGAACCTCCACAGAAATGTTCTCCCATTCTTTGCAAAGAAACTTGATAAGGTACAGCATCAGCAGATATCAATTTTCCATCACGAAATTCACCTTGAATTCCAACGCCATTTACTCTATTATCTATAAGAGAGTTATCACAATAATTATCAAATGTATTAAATAATTAAGATTATATTCAAAAATATTTATAATTATTTTCACTACCGAATAAAGTTATTAAGAGACAGCACAGAACCAAGTTCTTTGGTGAAAACATTTTTGATGATTTCTTGTGTCAAACATCTCATTTTATAAGTTCATCATTATCAATAATTTCTGATAAATTTTACTCAATATGAATAACAAATTATTGAGTCTAATACTCAAGATGGGAAAATAAATAATGGAATTTCCTCTTTTATATAAAATTACATGTCTTAGATATTAATGACGCAAAATTTTACCCTCATAGCATTTGATTTAATAGGAACGATATATTGATATCTGAAAGCTTTTATCTATTCGAGTATTCATAGGATATTTATGAGATAATTTTCCACATTTATTATCATCAGAAAATTTAAAATAATTACACGTTGTTATATTTTTTTTGAAATTTTGCTTTATTAAATAATTAAATAGATACACCAAAAAGAAAGATAATAACAAAAATACAAATAGAATTTTTTAACATACGAAAAAATTTTATTTCCTTTTTGACATATGTGTTAATAAGTAAATAATATTTTATAAAAATGATAATTAATTAAAAACTAATTTTTTTTAATTTCCATATCTATTTATATTCAATGTTATCCAATTTATGAAATAAAACACATTAGTATGAATATCAGGATATCCTGAAGCACATTTATTTTCCATTCCACCTGAAACTAATCCAACCAGATAATTACCCATCACAACTGGACCACCAGAATCACCCTAAAGAAAAAAAAATTTAATTTTTTAATAAATTCAGCTAGAAAAATTTCTCATAAAAGATTTTTTTTTCCTCCAGAAAATCATAAATACAACTAGAATTATATTTTAATAAATTAATTTTCTTACAGGACAAGTTCCTCGTCCATTTTCAATAAATGTACAAAAATTTGTTCCTATTCGTGGAAAAATTTGTTGACAGTTTGCTTGATTGTAAATTCTAGTATTTAAAAATTGTAATTGATCGGAAGATCCTTGAAATTGCTGAAAAAAATTTTTATTAATTTAAATACAAAAAGAAAGAAAATTATTCTAAATTGGAAATTCTTCCAACTTAAATCTTCTAATGTTTGCTTATGAATAAAAATTATATTCTAATTAATGATTTACCCCTTGCGAGCCCCATCCAGTTATAATAACTTCACGATTATCTGCAATCATATTGCTGTAAGGAAGAGAAATTGACGATACTTCAGAGGTAAAAATAAATTGTCCATTTATTTTAATAAGAGCTATGTCATATAGAGGCGTATGGAAAGCATAATTTTCATTTCTAATTACAATAATTACATTATGCTTTTGCCCTTGTCTACGATCACTTGTCCCAGCTATAACTACAATATTAGCAGCAGGTATACTGGAAGTGAAAAATTTTTGAAAATTAAATTCTTTAAATTCTTATTCATAAATGTGATTCCAATGAATTTAAAACTATTTTTCATTAAATCAATGATAAATCGCTTACCTATAAACACAATGTGCAGCAGTTAATACCCATTTATTACTTATTATTGCACCTCCACAGAAATGTTCTCCATTATTTTGCAAAGAAACTTGATAAGGTATGGCATCAACTTGCATTAATGTGTTACCATAATACCTTCCGTTTAGTTGTCTTCCAAGTGCATTATATTCTAGAACAGAATTATCATTATTCTCTATATAATTATATATAATAATTATTATATGTTTTAATAATTATGGGAATTAATTATTACCGAAAAACGTTATTAGGAGGCAGAACACAATCAAATTATTTAGTGAAAACATTCTTTCTGATTGCTTGTTTCAAACATTTCCCCTATATAAGTATATTATTATCAATGATTTCTGATAAATGCACTTAACGGTTTATTTAATACAATTTGTTGTGAAAATATTCAAATTTTCTGCTTCATAAAAAGAATTTGTGAAATTCCACATTAATAAATTTTGATAAAAGTCAAAATTCCAATTCACGTTTACAAACAGAATAAACAGATATTTCTCTTCTTGAGGTCAGCAATAGATGATAATGAAAAGTCATAAGATAATCTTCATTATTAATTGTTCAGGGTATTCCTAAAAATGTGTTGAAGAAGATTATTAGAAAAGTCATCAGTTCATAATTCTTGTGACAATTTTTTTTTAAACTCTTGCATCGTAAATTAAAATTTCCTTTGGAAGAAATTATTATCGATCAGATGGGGAAGGGTCTTTTCTCAGTGAGACTTTAATTATCGTTAATGAACTCGGGGAAGAATTTTTTTTTTTTGCTCCAAAGAAAAGAAATAAAAAGTATTAGGAAGAGGTGGATTTCAATGATTCATTTTTACAATGAGGTATTGGATTGTCGACGGAACAATATACTCTAAACGAAGTGTGATAAGGACTGATTAATAGAAACTGGGGAAAATCTTATTTTCGCAGATGAAAAAGAAGAAGAAAATGTTCGGATTTCCAGTACCACTTCTTGTTCTCTGATATATTTAAAACTCTTCAACAAGTCTCACGATAGACCCTTTTATTTCTTTATTCAGTTCTGAAGCCTCAATGCTTAATTTACTTTCTTTTCTTGCTTCCATTTTTTTTTATTAAGTCACTTGATCCCTTTTACGATCAAAAGTGCAAATTACGAAAGATAAGACAATAAATTGTGCCTGTTATAAAATTCTCAATCCTGAGTCTTCTTATTACCATTTCCAATTTTATTTATCAATGGGTCAAATTTGTAATTGACATTTGTGAAAATATCAAAATTCATTCTAAATGACTACCACTATTTTCAATTTTCGATAAATCTATGCAAATTCTCAATTTGGGGTTCAATTTCCAGTATTATAGATATTTCGAAATCCAAACAGCAAAACCACTTATGCTTTTACGCATGAAAATGAAATTGCTCTGCAATCAGAGTTATTAGACCAATGCAAATTATGTCAGTAAATAATTAAAGCAATTTTCCAAACAAATATTATTATTGTTCGATAAAATTTGTTCACGTTTAGACGCAATGAAATAAAAAATAAAATCATAAATTTTTTTATATAAATATAATTGGATAGTAATTAATGTAATGTATACTAGATGATTACACTCGGGTGAGTGCTATACTAAATAAATAATTATGTTGCTCCCCTTGTACGCAAAGTGGCGAATGGGTTGTACATTACTTGCGTGTGTGTGTGTAGCTGTGACATTTGGTATATAATACGTAAGCTGCCACGTCATTTAAATCAGCTCTATCGATACGCTGATATATATTAATGACATTCGCCTAATTGCGGAAATTCGACACTTCGATCGTCACTCGTTAACAAATTACAATTTACCTCTCTTTGTCCCTTTATTCCGCGTCTATCGTTGCGACAAAATTATGTAACACGCGCATACATTTTATATTTGACAGCTTATTTTCCATGTTTAAGGATTTATTCAATATTCATTGAAACTGTGTGATTATAGATGATTATTTAACTAATTTTTAATATTACTAATTAATATTAATTAACATAAATAATTGAGAAGCCAGCAAGTAGGAAGATCTCTATGAATGGGAAGTGTTTCATACTAGATCATGAATAATTTTAATATTAACATAAGTAATTGTGAAGCCAACAAATAAGAAGATCCCAATATGTGGAAAGTGTTTCATACTAGATCATGAATAATTTAAATATTAACATTAGTAATTGTGAAGCCAGCAAATAAGAAGATCCCAATATGTGGAAAGTGTTTCATACTAGATCATGAATAATTTTAATATTAACATTAGTAATTGGGAAGCCAACAAGAAAGAAGATCCCCATATGTGGGAAGTGTTTCATACTAGATCATGAATAATTTTAATATTAACATTAATAATTGGAAAGCCAACAAATAAGAAAATCCCAATATGTGGAAAGTGTTTCATACTAGATCATGAATAATTTTAATATTAACATTAATAATTAGGAAGCCAACAAGAAGCTAACAACAAAGAAGATCCCCATATGTGGGAAGATTAAATAAAATTTATCAATGTAGATATTTGTCTTACGTAACAAGTTTTTTTTCCCGTATTAGCAAATGTGCAAAATTGTTTTTTTATTTGTGAAAACAATTTACAATTATTCTTAGTAAACGGTATGTCAGTGAGTTATTACTGGAAATTATTTCACAATCGAAAGACGATTAATTTTTTACGCTTCACTACTTGCACTTCAAATAATTGTCTGATAAAATTATCAGCAATGGTATATGTCTAGAAATTCCCACAGGGTTATATAATACTTATCTTTTTTTCCAACATGATTTGATTGAGCTCATATTCAGTGGATCAATAATGGGCATTCGATACAAAAATTGAATTTTTTCTACAAAAAAAATTATAACTTTATAATCTATATAAATAGCCAGCAAAATATTAACAATATTAAAAAATGTACGGTATACTATAAGCAAAAGTTGTAAAAAATTTTGTCAATCTTTTAGCAATTATTTATCATATGGAAATACCAAGAAAAAAGGGTTCGTCACCATCTGGAGCATAATGTATAAATTATTGTCTCGTAAAGTTGTACGTGAGAGAAGGAGAGAGAGAGAGAAATTGTAATCGTTATTTAATGGATCAAAAAATACAAGCGGGAAAAGATGATTGATATTCTACGTAGATATGAGATTTAAAAATATAATAATTTCTTTTGGGATAAATATTTCTTCTCTTTGAAATAATGCAGTTTATCAATAAAGTTATTGAAACTGAATACAGGAGGTTTAACGTTTTATAGGTCATGGGATGTGACATCAAAGTAGAAAGAGAGAAAGGCAGAAGCCAGGTCACGTCGTATCGAAATGTTAGCTGAGAAAGACAAGGTAGAATTGGTCCTGAGGGGTTTTGATAACACTCACAACTCTTGTGACGAGTGCTTTCAAGGTAAAGGTATTACCCTAGAACATTCAACCTTCGTCTAAACACCTTATACCATCCACGTCACTTGAACTTTCATTCCCATCCCTTTCATTTCTTAACCCACATCAAATGTTGGACAACGTAGGCTAACAATGTCTGTCCACAAAAGAGAGAATATCCGCAGTTAAAGCCCTGTTAATACCAAAAAGGATATTTGACTAAATCACAACTGCAAAAGACACAACTGTAAAATAGCATTACTGCTTAATTTGGAGTCTCAAAAGATTTTAGCAAACAAAATTTAAAAAAATGATACAAGTAACTAAAACTAATTTTCGATATTGAACAAGATCACCACAGAGTTGGAGAGTCATCCTCGAAGGCAAAAATCTCACGACAATTTCGAGGGTGGATAAAGAGCTCCAAAAGAAGGGTTACGGATTTTAGTGGGTCTTGGTTTAATTTCCATTAAATTAAATTCTAGAATCAAAATTCTATAAATTTAAATTTAGAAATACAATCTATTTATAATTGAGATTGTTTTTTCAACTTAAGTTACCTTTGAATGAAGAATAAAAATATATTTCTCAATTCGGAGAACATTTTAAGTTGTGAAAACTATTTTCAAATCGAAATGGTACAACATAAAAGTATAAGAAACAGAAAATTAAATCGAGGCTTTTGCTACTGACGTATTTCAAATACCAAGGTTGATGGGAAGTTTTCGAGTATAGTTCACTCCTATATACCTGAACGCGAATAGTTACTTGGGGGTTGGGAGTATTATTGACAGGAGAGAGGAAGAGAATATGTGTATGTGTGTGTAACTTTGTTGGGTCGAAGCTCAGGGAGCTACCTGCTCTGTTCTGAATTCGCAATAGGATTGCGGATTCCGCATACTAATAGAAAATAATTTTTAAACTTTCATGACTACAACGTGATCGACATTTACTAAAGATGAGGAAAAATCATAAGAATTTTGTGTTTTTAAAATCTTTGACAAAAAAAGATCATCAAAGTTCGTTGTTTGAAGAGAGACAGAAAGTTAGAGATAGAGAAGGAAAAATAAATTAGCAATCTGCTGTTAACGAATGTCCCTTCGCTCTTCAATCAAGAAGTCGTTTCGAAGAGGAAACGAGAGTATTGAACTTTTACTGACATCCTCTTTCGAATGGTCTAGATTATTTTTTAGCCAGATCATCAAATCTTTATATTTATAAGAACTTTTTAAATAAAAAATTTTACCTCTAGCTAAGTTATCATCTGGATGGTTTAATTAGAAATAAAAAATTGTTCTTCTATTTAGAAAAAAGAATGTTGTGTAAATATTTGTTACAATTCTCATTAGATGAACAATTAAGTCACTGTGAAAGTAAATCAATTTTCAGATATTGCAAGTCATTTGTGAAAATTGCATCAACATCATTCGACAAATAAGAGAGAGAGAGCACCCCTTGTTTTGGTCTAGATGCGGTTCAGAAATTGTATGTGAGATAAAATGGTCTTCAGGATATTAGTGCGATATTGGAGGCGCTTATTGGTTTTATTGATTTTCGCCTTGTTCAAATGGTCCAAACCGAGAAAATGGTTTGGCATCGTACTGATGACTTTCATAATAGAAATCTTCCCAATCTCTTCTATATATATATATATATATATATATATATATGTGTGTGTGTGTGAGAGGAAAATAAACGAATATTTATATAAATTCATTACAAAAAAATCAAAAATATTATATCCAATCTAAATTAATTTATACCACTGGAAAAAAGATTACGATATTTTTGAATATAGAGTAATATTTTCTGGAACCACCTTCTTTACATTTTCCAGTCGTTTTAACGAATTCTTAGTTGAATTGTAAGGAAACATCGCACAACCTTGATACATGTTTACAACCTCTTTTTGATATTCCATCGTGCATTGCTCGCAAAGTTTGTGGATATCTACATTTCAACGAACCCCTTGCGCATCCTAATTTATTCCCTCTCGCGTTTTCATAGGTATGCATTGAATTTCTGTGGGATTTTTCACAAAAATTGTTCAGCAGTGCATATGACGAAGAAACGCCGACCATCGTCCGCATAGAAATGGGTATACGAAAATTCTTATCGCAAATAAAATTCATCACGATAGTACCTTGAATGGTAAGGGTGGACCAAGAGAATTTTTGAGATGGAATTCCAATGCCATTATTGAGAGCGCGAAACTCCAGAAAGAGAACTTTTTTTTTCTTTTCGTGAATGAATAAGTTATATCGCATGCCCTATCATCCAGAATTTTATTCAACCATCCCTCTGCCCCTTTTAAATGAACAAGCACCTTTTCTTGACCCACACAAACAATGACGATCAGAAAATATTATTGATTACTCATCTTTTTGATAATAAATGTTTAGCCAAATGTATTTTTGTTAATTCTCAGAAATATGGTTTCTTTTTAAATAGAGTTTCATGATTTAACTGCAGCAATTTTTTTAAGTACAATATAACTTCTAACTTTGACTTGTATAACTCCCGTACAGTGTTTTTTTAACATCCAAAAAAAATTATAGTTGTACGTATGAAGTAATTGAAATTTTGATTTAATTTGTTGATTTAGAGTGAAGATTTGCTTCGAATAAGGGTTTTGGAATTGCCTGCTTTAGAGTAGTGGACAATGCGAAACATTGTTTTGAGCCTATAAATATTCGTTATTGCCACGTTAACCATACACATAGTCAAGGGATACCATTATTCTATTCCGTAGCCCTAGCTCCACACGCTATGTATATATTATTGCCCCCTTTAGACGAAGGGTCGTCCTAACACCAACCCTTGTGCACTTCGGATATACGCGAAACATACCACGAATTGTTGAGAATGAACCGATCATGAACGCGAATACGCAGACTAACTTTAGAATTCACTTTATTGGTATTTACATAATCAATGAGTTTTCCACACAATTCCAAAACAATTCTTTCTAACTTAAAAAAGAATAATTGACATTCTTCGTCTTCTTTTAAAGATCTTGATGAAAAAAGCATTTTTCTTTCAATAAAATCCTAAAATTTTTTAAATAGAAAATTTTAACTATATACTTTAATAGATCAACACACATTGAAGCATTCATAAGTATAATTTTATTAGAGAAGAATTATTTAAAAGATCAGAGTTTACTAATAACTGATAATAGTTAGCAAAAGAGTCAGAGTTCAAATGATAATTACTTGTTAAGTGAATAGTTCACAAAAGTGTTGACTTCGTCAACAGATAGAATAGCAATCCAATGATTTAATATATTAAAGTGATCAGAATTTATTTTTCTTTTATTCCAAAAGCATTTTTGGACATGTTCCGACATGGATTATCAAAATGCTTATTTTGTGTGGTATACATCGACAGTCTAATAAATCAAAGGCGGTGTCAGTAGCAGGCTGAGGAGCAGACAGACGAGATTAACTTATCGAACCGTAACTAAAGCCCGATTGCGAGGTGACTTTCGGTCAGCCAAATGCAAGCTTTGTTTCGTGGGGTTCAAAATTACGAGATCTATACCAAAATCCCTGGTAATCAAAATGAGTTTTCATTTTTAAAACTTCAAAATCAAACTTTTTGCGTACGTGTGCTATTATTCAATAGGAGATGGAGCTGGCCCCATGAGTGGGAAAGTGTTTCATACTAGATCATGAATAATTTTATTATTAACATTAGTAATTGTGAAGCCAACAAATAAGAAGATCCCAATATGTGGAAAGTGTTTCATACTAGATCGTGAATAATTTTAATATTAACATTAGTAATTGTGAAGCCAAAAAATAAGAAGATCCCAATATGTGGAAAGTGTTTCATACTAGATCATGAATAATTTTAATATTAACATTAGTAATTGTGAAGCCAACAAATAAGAAGATCCCAATATGTGGAAAGTGTTTCATACTAGATCATGAATAATTTTAATGTTAACAATAATAATTAGGAAGCCAACAACCATGAATATCCCAATATGTGGAAAGTGTTTCATACTAGATCATGAATAATTTTAATATTAACATTAGTAATTGTGAAGCCAACAAATAAGAGGATCCTAATATGTGGAAAGTGTTTCATACTAGATCATGAATAATTTTAATGTTAACATTAATAATTAGGAAGCCAACAACCATGTAGATCCCAATATGTGGAAAGTGTTTCATACTAGATCATGAATAATTTTGATATTAACATTAATAATTGGGAAGCCAACAAGAAGCTAACAACAAAGAAGATCCCCATATGTGGGAAGTGTTTCATACTAGATCATGAATAATT